CGGGCGGAGCGAGCAGTTATGGCTGCTCTCAGTCCCATCCCCAGAGACTCTGCCTCTCAGAGTCCCAGCAACTGCAGCAAACCTCTGAGAGAAAGCTGGACTCGAGTTCTGACCGATGCCAGACAGTCCCACTTCTCCCATTTGAGTCTGGGTCCCTAGAGACTCGCCCAGAACTGGAGCTCAGAGCCTGAGACTCCCTCCCGATTGAAACAGACAACCGCGCCCTCAGCCACCAGCCCGCTCCGCGCGCACCTCCGCACCTTTGTATTTTCCGCACTGCACCTCCTCTGAGTCTCGGTATGCTGTTCTCTTTCCTTCTAGTTGAAGAATTTCCCCTCAGCCAGCCTTTCTGTGTTTCTGGGTGATATCTGTTCTGTCTTTTAGTTGTATTTTTGAAGTGTTTTTGCGAGGCAGCAATCTCCGGTGTTTACCTATGCTGCCATCTTGGTTCTCCCTTTTTTCTTCTTGAGAGGCAGTCTGCTGTAGCAAGTGGGAACATGGACTTCAGAGCCAAACTGCTGGATCCAAATCTTTGCCCTGTAGTTATATGACTTTTGGACTGTGCTTGATTTTCCTCAACAATAACTTGGGGGTGATAATGGCACCTACCTCCTTTACTTACTGTGGAGGTTAAAAGAGTTAGTCCTTATAAAGCATTTAGAACACTGCCTGGGACATAGGGAGTGTTCAGACTGCGTTTCTTATTATTACTGCTTTAAAAGGAATAGTTTCATTTAACAGTTTTATTGAGATATAATTCACACAGTATACAGTTGACCCATTTAAAGTGTATAATTGAGTGGTTTTTAGTATATTCACAAATATGTGCAGTCATCACTACAGTCACATTCTAGACCAGGGGTGGGCAAACTTTTTGACTCGAGGGCCACAATGGGTTCTTAAACTGGACCAGAGGGCTGGAACAAAAGCATGGATGGAGTGTTTGTGTGAACTAATATACATTCAAAGTAAACATCATTACATAAAAGGGTACGGTCTTTTTTTTTTTTAGTTTTATTCATTTCAAACTGGCCGGATCCAGCCCGTGGGCCATAGTTTGCCCACGGCTGTTCTAGACCATTTTCATTATCTCAGAAAGAAACTTTTTATCCCCTTAGCTATCACCTCTCCTCCTCTATTCTTCCAGCCCTGTGCAAACTCTAATCTACTTTCTGTCTATCAATATACCTATTCTGGACATTTCATATAAATGAAATCATATAGTATATGGCCCTTTGTGACTGGCTTCTTTCATTTGGTGTAATGTTTTAAGGAATACACACACACACACACACACACACACACTCCACATTTTATTTATTCATTCATCAGTCAGTGGGCATTTGGGTTATTTTTACTTTTTGGCTATTATGAATAATGCTGCCGTGAACATTGGTATACAAGTTTTTTTGTGGACATATGTTTTCACTTTTCTTGGGTATTACCTAGGAATGGAATTGCTAGATCATATTGTAAAGTTTTTTTCTTAATTAATACACTTTATCATTTAGAGCAATTTTAGATTCATAGCAAAACTGAATGGAAGGTATCGAGTTCCGGTATACTCCCCCACCCCACCCCAACCACTCACACAACATCCCCCATACTACTGGTTTTTAAAACTTAAATATGTTATATACTGTAGACTTCTGTGGTGACCATAACTTCTAAATCCTGCTACAAACACCTGGATACATTGGTGTAACATATTAGCATACTTATGAATGAATAGCTGAGCTAACAAGAAAGGAAGGAGGTTGAACCAGGTGCGTGGGCAGGTGCCGCTGCTGTCCAGGGAGTTTGCCAGTCTCCTCAGTAACCCAGGCAGATGAGACATTGGTCCCACAAAAACTAGGAGTTAAGAGCTAGAGACCCTTATATTATACTGGGTTCCTTATTTGAAAGGTTCGACTAGAAAACAATCACTTCCTCTTTAAGAAAAGCAAGAATATCTGGACCTGAACTTTGGATCAGAGGGGAAAATGTTCCTAATTAGAATGTTTTTCATACTAACAGTATTTTATTGACCAGCACCCAATCAAGAACCAGCACATTGCCCTCACCCGAAAAGTTCCCTGGTCCCTGTGCCCAGCGGAAACCACTCCTCTTACTGCCATCATTGTAGTTGAGTTTTGCCTGTGCTCGAATTTCACCTAAATGGACTCATGCAGCATGTACTATTTATGTCGGGCTTATTTCGCTGAACTTAATGCTTCTGAAATTGATCCTCATTGTTGCATGTATCCATAGGTTCATCGTATGAAAATAAAACAGTTCATTCCTACTCCTATTGATCAACATTTGGATTATTTCCAGTTTGGGGCTACCTTAGTGTAGACCTACAAATACAAGTCTTTTTATGGATGTGCGTATTAATTTCTCTACCCAAGGAGTCCAAATCTCTGGATCATAGGATAAGTGTATGTTTAATTTTATTAGAATTGCCAAAAAGTCTGTTCCCAGGGGTTGTACCGTTTTATACTCTTTGCCAGCAATGTTTCAGAGTTCTGGTTGCTCCACATCCTCTCCAAAACTTGGTCTTTTCAGTTGTTTTTACTTCAGCCGTTGTGGTAGGTGTGTAGTATAGTGGTTTTAATTTGCACAACTCTCGCGAAAGCTGATGATGTTGAGCCACTTTTGTGTGCTAATTGACCATTTGGGTATCTTTTATGATGTGCTTTTATTTTGCCCAGTTTTTGGACTGTTTCTATTATTTATCTGTGGTAGTTTTCATTTTGGTTGCAAATCCTTTGCTAGATATATTGATTTTCTTCTAATCTGTGGCTTGTTTTCTCCCTCCTTAGTGATTATTGATAAACAGCATTTTTTAATTTTGATGAAGTCTGCACCATCACTTTTTAAAATTTTATAGTTAGTTCTTTTGTGTCCTGCCTGAAAAAAATCTATGCCTATCCCAAGGTCATGAAACTATTCTTCTGTGTGTTTTTTTCAAAAGTTTAAAATTCCTTATTAAAATCTGTAATCGATTTCAAATTAATTTTGTGTATGATATGAGGTAGGAGTCAAAGTTTTTTTGTTTTTTTCTAGTAGTAATGTATCATTGTCCCAGCACCATTTATGGAAAAGATTTTTCTTTTCTCATTCTGAATTGATAACTTTGTTGAAAATTAATTGGTCATGTGTTTGTGGATTTATTTCTGGACTCCTTTTTCTCTTAATCTCTTGGTCTCTCCTTATACCAACACTACACTCTTGATGTAGCTTTCCATAGTAAGTTTTCCAGTCTGGTAGTGTAAATCCTCCAAGTGTATTATTTTTATTCAGGATTGTTTTGGCTATTCTAGGTCTTTTACATTTCTATAAAAGATGCAATCAGCTTATTGGTTTCTGTGATAAAGCTCAAATCTTGATTGGAATTGTGTTGACTCTGTCAATTAATTTGGAGGAAATTTTTATCTTAGTAATATGTAATCTTCCAATCCACTAATGTGGTAAAATTCTCTGTTGTTTTGGGTCTTTAATTTCTCTTAGCAATATTTTGTATTTCCTTTTTATTTAAACCATTTATCCCCCCCGTATCCTCCTCCACCTCCCCCAATCCTCCTACCACCCCAAATCATCACACTGTTGTCCGTGTTCAGGAGTTTCTCTTTTTTTCCTTTTGATCAAACCCTCCCCCCCCCCCCCCCCCCCCCAACTGGAGACCAATGGGGTTATGTAGCTTGGCCAGTCTCACACCTGCTCTCTATGAGTCTGTCTCTATAATACTTTGTGTTTTCAATGCACATTTTTTCCACTAAATTTGTTCCTGGGTATTTGATGGGTTTTGATGCTATTGTAAATGAAATTTTAAAAATGTTTATTTTCCAAATATTTGTGTCTAATATATAGAAAAAGAGTAGATTTCTTTTTTTGTTTTGTTTTGTTAATCCTCACTCAAGGATATTTTTCAGGAAAGGAGGGGGAGACAGAGAGAGAGAGAGAAAGATGGATGTGGGAGATATACATCAATTGTTTGCTTCCTGCATGTGCCCCAATGGGCTGGGGCTTGAACCTGCAACCCAGGTACATGTCCTTGACCGGGAATCAAACCCAAGACCCTTCGGTGTGCGGGCAAACATTTTAACCACTGAACACACCAGCCAGGCATAGTAGATTTTTATAGATTGACCTTGTATCTGAGCTCACTTATTAATTTTAGTAGTTTGTGATTGTTTGCTTCCTGCATGTGCCCCAATGGGCTAGGGCTTGAACCTGCAACCCAGGTACATGTCCTTGACCGGGAATCAAACCCAAGACCCTTCGGTGTGCGGGCAAACATTTTAACCACTGAACACACCAGCCAGGCATAGTAGATTTTTATAGATTGACCTTGTATCTGAGCTCACTTATTAATTTTAGTAGTTTGTAGAGTCCTTTGAATTTCCTATGTATGTAATCAGAAACATTCTCTGCTTCTGCAGATAAGGTATTTTTCAGTCCTGAAAGTTCTGTTTAATTCATTTTTGGAGAATTTCCATTTCCCCCCCATTTTATCCATCTTTTCCTCTTGGTTTCATCAAGTGCTAAGAACGGCACTGCTTAAAAAGATGGAAAGATTGAAGCCAGTATGGCTAACGCTGCATTTTCAACCACAGATCTCTCTCGGCCTTGTCTGCTTATCATACTGGTTTGATTGCGCCAATGAAGATCCGCACAGAGGCCCCTGGGAACCTTCGTTTATACAGTGGGAGCCCCACTCGCAGTGAGAAAGAGCAGGTCTCCGTCAGCTCCTTCTACTACAAGGAGCGGGTAAGCAGCAGAGCCTCATCCTTTGATTCCTATCCCTTCCCTGGATTCTTGTTCTTTGTCTCCCTGCTTGCCACGCACAGCAGCTAAATTAGCAATCCCCTGTAGACTTTCACTGTCATAGTTTGTTAAAGAAAGACCACTGTTTTGTGCCTTTCCGTTGGTTTTACCTGCTAAAATTGAATCTGGGAGGATCGCCCCACTTAATCCTATTCTGGTAATCCCCATTCATTAAGTTGATCATTCTTTCAGATAGAATAATTGAGCTTCAGATATTCCTTGGTCTTCTGATGTTCATCAACAAATTAAGGGGTATTTCTGAGGGCTTGGGGTCTTGCTGTATTTGCAACTTCATATCTGTGAGAAGTTTTAAAGTTAATTTCTAAGAGGTTTTATAGTTTTTCTAAGTCTACACTGAAGTACCCATTTGAGTGGACCAGTTTATATAAAAATCACTTGCACCTGGCCTTATGTTCCTGGGTTCTTAAGGAACTCATCGTCCCTAAGGTAGCTGTTAAGCTGTCAGAAGCCTTTAGTGACGACAATGTAGAGAGTGTGGGCAGAGCGTAGGAAGGACTCTGAGAACTCTTTCTTGTCAGAGTGAGCGTCTGGTTTAAACCAGCTTTTACTTGACATGATGTTTTAAACAGAGTTACCACTGAGCTACTCACAAACTCAGTCCTGTGGGATTCTTTGCTGTTGTCCTCCACTAATGAGGAAATGATGGATCAACCATAATTTAACATTTTTAAATTGGATTATTTTAAATAAACCAGTTTATAGCAAGTGTTAGAGGTGTCATCACTCTGATTGCAGCTGTACTATCTAACATTCCTGGTTCTCACTGATAGTTGGCTGTCTCTGACTTTGTCCTCTGAAATGAGTGGCAGGAACTGATACTTGAGACAAGACCAGACTCGGGCAAAGCCATTCAGTTGAATAGAGACCATGATTGTTTTTGTTGCTTTTCTGGCCAACTTTCTTTGCATCTCTGCTGGAATGAATCCCCCTGGCTGTCACAGACCTTCTTGGGACACCATATCTTCCCAAATCTTTTACATTGAAAAAAATTATTTTAAATGCAAGCTAGCTGGTAGCTGTCTAGATGATTTGATAAACTTAGTTGGAAATAAGGCATTTTTTAATTGACATCATGGTTGGATAAATATGGGAATTTTCTTTAGCATTAGAGCCAGGTTGAAGAGATCTTTAAGTTGAATCATGTCATATGCAGCTCATGCTTGGATTCTGTGGGCAAAACACACAGACTAGTACTTTTGACTCTGTGACGGTGTGTAAAGGCCATGTCAAGTCAAAGTAACCCCAGTTCCAAGTTGGGATTTCTCCTGACGTGGAAGCATTTTAATGCCCACACTTACATGGATGGTCTGGCCTCTTTTACTACAAGCACCACAATCACAGAGGGACCAAAGGAAGGATCGTGATTTTCAGTTTGGGGTTGTTCCCACTGGGCTGCTTCTCTACAGAAAATGGGCTATGATCATCCCCGAGGATGACATAGTAAGTGGTCTTTCAGTTTTGTTTCAGATAGCAAGTAAAATGGGAGAGACCCTTTTATTATAATTGTATATGAAACTTTTATATTGCTATATAACCTATGTACAGAAAAGTTCACAAATCATAAACATTTAATTCGGTGAATTAACAGTCATACTGGCCAGGAAATAGAAAATTCTAAGAACCCCAGAATCCCTGGGGAAGGAAGGCACATTCCAATGGATGACATAAAGTAGTTATGAGGTTACAACATATGAAATGGATGCTATTTGACCATTTTCGATCTTAAAGAAAAATTTCAGTTGGTTCAACATAATATGTTAAAATAGGCAAGTCAGTTATTTTGTGATGAATCTGAAATAAAGTCATCTCTCCTTAAAGCTTGTTCATGTCCATCCCATTTACATGGGCAAAGGGGGAGGATTAAAGAAATGAGATACAGCCATGATATTGTCCATAGGCCTTCTTATCTCCTCATGGACAGCAATGCAGTTCTGTGCCTTAAGGAGTATTTTCTGATTCTCAGGTGTCTAGTTTCTTGGGTTAAATAATAGCACTTTCCTTACTTTGGTTCTGGAAACAATTCAGTTTACTAAATTTTTGTTTTTATTTTCATCCCAGATCTTTTGTCTACATATTTCTGTTCTCTTTTAGATCTCTATCCCTGAGATTTTTAAAAGGCATTTTAAAAATATTTTTATTAATTTTCAAGGGGAAGGGAAAGGGAGAGAGAGACAGAAATATCAGTGATGAGAGAGAATCATTGATGGACTGCTTCCTGTCCTCCCTCTACTAGGGACCAAGCCTGCAACCCAGGCTTGTGCCCTTACCAGCAATGGAACTGTGACCTGGTTTTTAGGTTGACCCTCAGCCACTGAGCCTCACCGGTCTGGCTGTTCTTGTGATTTTAACCTGCCCAACTTAGGTTGTGTTATATTCAGCCAAACGTTCTCCAGATGGGATTCCAAGGTTGCTCCTAAAAATTAAAAAAAGTGAGACATTAAAAAAAAAAAGTGTATTTTTTATTGATTTCAGAAAGGAAGGGAGACGGGAGATAGAAATACCAATGATGAGAGAACCATTGATTGGCTGCCTCCGCATGCCCCACACCAGGGATTAAGCCTGAAACCCGGGCATGTGCCCCTGACTGGGAATTAAACCATGACCTCTTGGTTCATAGGTTGACGCTCAACCACTGAGCCACTCTGGCCAGGCTGTGAGACACTATAGGAAGTTAGAAAACACAGAGTGATGCTAACATTCATTTGGTAACTGGACCAACTATTAATAGTTGATGAAATATTACTTATTCTGTGGAAGGCCTAGAACTTCTGAGAAACATTAGGCTTTACCCTATAAACATTAAAAAATTTTTGCAACCTCCCACGTTTGCTTCAATTTATGTTATGAAAATAGCTCTAAAGTAAAAACTGGGGAGGTCTTGAAGTGGCTAGAGTAGTTTCTGATCTCCATAAACAGTGTGTATGCTCCCAGTTTCACACTGGTGCTCATGTTGTTGGGGAGAATGCCCTTAAGAATGTAAGTCCTCAGCCTCAGCTCCCCCTGCATTTCTCTGGGGCTCTCGCTTCCCATGGCATCACTCTAAAAATAGTCCCGCGGCCCCAAGGTCAAGGTTTCCAATTTCTCCAATGCTCTTTAGCTACGTACCCAAAAAATGTGGTATTGAGTGTATGGAAGAACTTCTTCCTTTTTAGGAACGGGACTATTCTCGCACTTACACATGCCCCTGAAAGGGCAAGCAGAATCCTCCACTGTTTCTCCAGTTGCCCTGTGATCCTAATCCTCATTAGTTCCTTTGGTCAGAGTGGTATGGACATCAGCCCCTTATATGTTGAAATGTGTTTTGGGCTGAAAAACAATGACATTGTAGCTGGGTTTGGAGTGTGATGGGTTGGGCGGGAGGAGAGGGAATCCACCTACTGCTGTGTTTCAATTCAGACTGTGTAGCATTTCACTTTGATTTTGTAGTATATTATGGTATCATTTAATCCATCAGATATGTGGGAAGCTTTCATTTTATTCTATATTTTTCCCTTTTAATTTTCTTGGTGTTTTTCTTCCCTCTTCCTGGGTGTAACGTTTTCACGCACAGATGTCTCCTCGCTCTGCCCGGCGACGTTGGTCCATACAAGCAATTAACGACTTCCCGGTACTGTGCGCTGCGCAAATGCTCTCCTTGACTAATCCTGTCTCTGCCCAAAGGCCCAAGAATAAAATGCCACCTGCCTGGCTTTGAGGAACCTGAAATGACAGGCTGGCTGGGTTTTAGGACCAGCAACAATAAGTTTTCATTTTTGGGAGTCAGGTGCCAAGGACTGCTTCCTGGGTCCCTGACAGTTTCAAATGGGTGAATACGATACCGTTAAGGATTGTGAATGGACTTCTTTGAAAAGGAAGCTCAATACTGGGTTTCTTGGGAAGAACCCCGATTGTAAGCCTTCAGCTACCTGATTTCATTTGGGATATTTGTATAATTTCATTGAGTTTTCAGAAGCCTACCTTTGGCATTGGGAAGCAGAGGAAGATATAAGGGGCTTCCACCATTGTGTCTTTTTTTATCGTCTTGGTGTAATTCAAAGAGGAAAGAGCCCATCTCATCTACTGACACGACACATAAGCTCGTTTTTATCTTTTGGAAATTTTCTGGAACAAATTTTCCCCATACCATCAGTTTTTGCATTGACAGTCAAACCGGGGCATCATCTCTTCCTTTCTTCCCTTCTTCCTCACTCCTATTGGCCATCTCCCCTCTTCTGTCTTCCTCTCCCGCCCCCTTTACCAGTCAGTAGTGCCATGGTGACCTCAGGCTGTGCAAGGCAGCCTTAAAGCATTAGCTTAAATTTCATTTGGTGTAAAAAATACTTAGGGGGGTAGTTCTATAGCCTTTTCACATAAAAACCAGTTGAAATCAGGAGCCCTGATTAGCGGTACTGCAGCTGCTGAGAACTTGCAGGTGGAGCCGCCAGCATGGCCACTTTTCCTCCAAAGGCCTGTCCCAGCCAGCCGACTGCTGACTTCCACTGGCTTTCCCAGCAGGCTCCCCTGCAGCTATTTAACCGGGAACTCATCAGGACTGCCTCCCACTCTGCTGATTATGCACTGTTGAAGGGGTTGCTGCGAAGCAGTTGGTGGCTTATTCTTGGGCTGTTTTTACATTTTACCCATTTATTGACATCCATGTTGCCTCCGGTTGTAGCAGTAACACTGGTGGTACAGTCGCAAGCTGGCTGTTGGTTGTCCTTCAGTGCTATTTGCACCAATGCCCCCTCCTGCTTCCTCCCACCCGACTCCTTCCCTATCTGCCCTCTTTCCCATGATTCCATGAACACCTTCTTGGTATGTTCAGAGGAGCACCCTGGTGCTCATTATGTGATAATTTGTCTGTCTTGCTTTGCCTCTCCCCTCAATCCCTGCTCATAATCTGGGGGAAGGGGCATTTTCTCTTGATGGGGCATTGAGAAGACATAAGAGAAATGCAGAGTCCTTTGCATCCCAGGACTACTGATTTTACCACACTGAAAAGTATCCATGTTTTAGCCGTCAGAGTGGGACTGGAGCAATGCAGGAGGCTTAGAGGGCATTTGGGCCACAGTGTCCTCCCCTCACCTGGAAGATCAACCACACTCAGACTGGTGTGTCATGGTTCTCTGCCTGTCATCACCTGACAGTTGCATAGATAAGAGAGACTCCCAAAATTGCCACTAGATATTAAGGGGAAAGGAAGTCTTGCAAAAGTGTGGATGGAATATGAACCCTTTTAATTGTCAAAGCTCTAAAAGAAACACCCTGAAAAACTGTCCATGCTTGTTAGGGAGCAGCAAGGATTTGAGATTTGGCATGTCTTCATTTAGCAGCCTCGTTTTATCTGAATCCCTAAGGAATTGGCCACTAGACAGGATTACTGAGTGACCCCTGTAGCAGGAAGGGGAGGTATTTCATATGTTAAAACCACCAGCCATCAGATTTAAAAAGAAACTGTTGCCCTAGCTGGTTTGGCTCAGTGGATAGAATGTCGGCCTGTGAACTGAAGGGTCCCGGGTTTGATTCCGGTTAAGGGCACGTACCTTGGTTGCAGGCTCGATTCCCGGCCCTGGTCCAGGTACTGGCAGGAGGCAAGCAATCCATGTGAAAGTGACATCTTGCATCGATGTTTCTCTCTCTCTGTCTCTCCCCTTCTCTTCCCCTCTCTCTAAAAATCAGTGGAAAAATATCCCTGGGTGAGGATTAACAGCAACAAAAAATAAACTTTTGTGACTGGTTAAAGATCTTTGATAATGTTTTGTAGTATTCCTTGCTGGATTAAATGAATGAATACTGCTGTCCCATAATTGATTTCATAGTGTGATTCTTGGTGACAGCTATAATTAGGTGGCCCTGTGTTGGGGAAGCTTCTCCTATTATAGGCTCAAAGGCAGCTTATTGAGGTTTCATAAAACATCACCTACACATCAACCAGATCAAACAGAGAAGCACCTAGGAGCCTGGTGTCTCAAGAAGTTGACAGGGAAGTTCCAGAAATACAGAGTGTGATTTCTATAATTCAATGAAGGGTAATTGTAGGTAGTTGTTCAAGACGGCTGTCTACATTTTCATCAAGTACCTATCGATGACTCACATTAGTTTGTTTCTACAGATCTCTGTGACCCAAGACTGCAAATGGGGGAAGAGTCCTAAGATAGCTCATTGGACCCTGAGTCCTCTCTACGAATATACCTAATCCTAACAAGTCCAGACAGTGATTAAACAGCGTGAGGTGCAGGCCCTTGAACCTGGCCTGAAATACAGCACCTGGGCCTGAGCCTGGCATGCCCACTGCCGAGCTGTATAGCCCCAGAAGCTGCTTGCTCTGCGGATCTGCAGCTCGCTGCTCTGCCTTAGTCAAACAGTTGCAGTGCTTGGCGGAGAAGTGGCTTTAGAAGTGAGGAATTGTAGAGGATGGTGTGTTGGCTATGCCTCATTAGAATCAGATGCTGATCTCCTTACATGCAGATATGGATCTATTTAAAAATGGACCAAACTATTTATATATTAACAAGTAGTCAGGACTTAATTTTTTTTCCTTTTTAATCTAAAGTCATGCTCTCTAAAACAGATTAACAAGTATGGGCTTAGCAGCCTGACTGGCCCGTGTTCAAAGCTCAGCTCTTATGAGTGTAGCCTTGAGTGGTGGAGGCAACAGCCCCTTTGTGAGAGAGCTGTGGTGAGGCTCTCGCTCGCATAGTGGGAGCAGTTGTAGCAGGAGCTAAGGTTAGTCATGACAGGCTAGCCTTTAAATCCCAAGTCAGATGTTTTTTCCACATGCGGGCTCCTGTGTAGCCATTTGTAGTCAAGGCTCTGAGGAAGTAAGAGAATTGTTCATGATCTTCCCTTTCTAATACCCATGTCCCTCTACAAGTTTCTTTGACGTTCTAAAATGATCTCTTTTAGAAATATTCAAGTCTGCTAGGAAAAACGTTTTAAAATGAGCTAGTCTATCTGCCAGTGAACCACTTTGGGCACATGGATCTTCATATTATCTTTTCATTGGGTTTGCTTAGAAAGGCAGGGAATTGTGGTGGTTTTCACTGTGGTCTGAAAGCTGTAGGCCCATCCCTCGTGAGCTTCCGTTTGTTTCCCCGATTCAGTTAAACAGAGCTGGTTCATTGCTCTGTGTTTCAAGTGCTTCTCATTTCTCTTTATAGTAAGGAATCAAAGTGACTGCCTGGAACAGTGTTTTAGAAGCCTTCTAACCAACCCAAGGACCAAATTAGATGGAACATCCTCCCTCCCTTGTTGAATCTTTTTAGTGTAGATATTTTCCTCCCTCCCTCCCTCCCTCCCTTCCTTCCAATCCAGTACCTTAAATCCCATGTGAGGCCTGTGGGGCCTGTGGGTTTGTCATTTCCTGGGATTTTTAAACTCCGGGAAACCTGGATGAAAATCATAGTGAAATGAGTAGGTGTACTTATACCCTCCTTTTTCTGGTTAACCACATTGTGCTGTTCCTGTCTCTGCCAAATCACCCTCCCTATGAAAACCAGTCCCATCATAGTACGAGGCAGGCATGACGACACCGTCTTGTGTTGGTTAACACTGCCTGGCTCCAGTCCATCCTGACAGGTTGTTTGCTCTTTAGCACATTCTCCCCTTGCACCCACGTCAGGATATTTGTGGCTAAAAATGGTAGCACTTTTTGTGAGTACTCACACAGTTCTAATTTTGAAAATAACCAGGGCTAGCAGAGAATTGAAGGGCTACCCCACAATGATAGATTAAGCTTCCTCTTGTGTTGCAGAGTATTGTCTTGTGTATGGGTAAATAGTAAATAGTAACTGAACTGCTTCTTAAGGACAAATGGGCTAAGGTCCAAATGGATAATGTATCATCTGTATTTACCAATTATGATAAGCAATCCAAATATTTCAGCTAATCTTTTTCATTTACCGTCCATGAACTAAGTCCAGGTGTCCTGGATTTAGTAGGTTCCATAACACTTACTAATCCCATAGGAAGTTACATGCATTGGGCAACTTTGGGGATTAGATGGGCCATCAGGGTTCAGAGACCTCTGAATGTAGACAGTGACTAATTTATGGAAGGGTGATTGTATAAAAATCACTTGTGGAAAATGAATTTGTGAGTAATCTAAAAATGATCTAATTACATTTCTGAAGGTTTATGCACATTCATAAAAATTACAGATTTTAAAATAGTACTCGAATTTGCAGAGTGTTTACTCACTTTTCATTGTACCCATATTAACCTTGGGAGATTGGAACAACGAAGCTCGTCCTGAGCCATCAGTGAATGAAAAGAGACTGGCATGAGACTAAATTCACAGCAAATAAGTAATTCACCCAGGATCACCTTGAACCAGTACTTGTGGCAAAAAGACCAATAAACCTTGGTTTTCTGATTCCAAATTGCAGGCTCTTTCAGAAAGGCTCCTTTTGTACCCTTTATAAATAAATATGTCTCCCTCCTTCCTCCTTAGTTGAGTCACTTTGGTGGCCCCCCTTTTAATTTCTGACAATAACATAAAATAGAATATCACTCCCGTGGCAGGCTGTCATTTTGAAGATACCAGATGGTGCTACTCTCTAATAATTCCCATTTTCTCGGATAGCTCTCATTTCCCACATACAGGCTCCTACATAGCCATTTGTAGTGAGGCTCTGGGGAAATAAGATAGCTGCTCATGACCTTCCCTGTGCATTACTCACGCCCCTCTGCTCAAGTATTTTTGACGTTCTAAAAATGATCACTTTTAGAAATAGTTCAAGTCTGCTAGGAAAAACAAGGTAATTCTCCTTGAGCTGCTAAGTTTTTCTGTCTGTCTGCCTGCCATAGATTAAAGTTTGCAGAGCTCACACTGCTATTCCTGGATTAAATTCTCCACAAATCCTATTAAAACTCTCTAAGAAGGGGAAAAAAACTTTGAACCTAGGGCTGAACCTGGCCTTAAAAGTTGCTCTTTTCCCACATTTTTGTGGTCTTTACTAACTTATTTACCTGCTGTTCTTTTTCTTCCTTATTTTCAAAATTATGTCTGTTTTTGAGCACAGCTCTCCAGTAGGTGTTTGTTCTGCAATTAGGATTTTGGACCAAGAGCTCAATGCCCTTTGTTATCCTTTCATTTCCTATAGATGCTGATTCATTTAATTGTGGGCATGATGTTGTAATGCAAAGTCTCTGCAAATTACCAATGACCCAACTATGATGTGCTCTGCAACTGTAGGCTTCCACTCAGCAAAGTCCCCATTAGTGACATCTTGTCATTTCCCCCAGAAATCAAGGAGATGGAAAAGCAAGCGCGAGGGATCCGACTCTGGCAACCGACCAATCAAGGCTGCTGGGAAAGTTGTCATCCAGGATATTGCGTGCCTCCTTCCTGTTCACAAGTCACTGGGAGAGCTGTATATGTAAGTTCAAGGTTTTAAGTGTGCCATGCCTATCATTTAGTCATGATTATCAAAGGTCCTACCCCCCCCCCCCTTTTCTTAAGTTTTGGAACCCTTTCTTCAAAAGCAGTTTTAGGAGTTGCCCAGTATATTAGCTTTCTATTATTGCATAACAAATTATGACAAACTTAGTGGCTTAAAACAACATACACTTATTACCGCACAGTTTCCCTGGGTCAGGAGCCTAGGCGTGGCATAGCTGGGTCCTTGCCCAGGTCTCACCAGGCTGAAATCATGGAGTGGACCAGGCGGTGTGCCTATCTGTGCTCAGGGTCCTCTTCCCGCTCATGCAGGTTGTCACAGAATTCGGTTTCTCGCAGCCATTAAGTGAGGTGAATGTTCGAGACCAGCAGGAGTGTCTCACTGTCACTTCACCTTCTTTCTGAGGTGTCACCTGAGTAGGTCAGGCTCACTCAGGATAATCTCCCTTTTGACAAATGCAGAGTCAATTGATTAACAATAACCTATTCATGGGAGTGACATCCCATCAGTATTCACTGGTCTCACCCCATTTAAAGGGAGGAACTTATAACAGGTACTTATACCAGGGGCAGAAATCTTGAGAGCAGTCTCAGAATTCTGCCTCCCAGGCCCAACCAGGAAAGCAGATGAAGCGGAGCCACTTTGGCTGAAGGGAAGTGGGAGGTGAGTGACAAGCATACAGAGGCCGGCCTCTGCTTCCCCTTCTTCCTGAGCCTGGACACATGACAAAAATATTCATTTTGTAGTATGTGCACAGCATACCACTGTCTGTGTTAGAAACTACAGTGTTGTATCTATTTCAATCCATTTTTATTCAACTCTCAAGTCTGGGGAACTTCACAGCTAAGCAGGTTAGCAATCGGTGTTTTGTGTTTTTTTTTTCACTGACTTGAGAAAGAAAGGGATAGATTTGTTGTCCCTCTTATCTACGCATTCATCGGTTGGTTACTGTATGTGCCCTGACCAGGGATTGACCCACAACCTTGGCGAACGGGACCATGCTATAACCCACCGAGCCACCTGGCTGGGCCAGCAGATTGGTTTTTGAGTCTGGCCTCCTCTTCTGGCTTCAAAGAGGTGAGCGATTTCACCTTCCCCAGGCCTGAGCCCACAGCATAACATCAGCTGCTAGTTAAGCATTTTCTTCTTACATACAAGGGATCTTTAGGCCAATACAAAGAAAACATTTCTAGTGACAACCAAAGAGGCAGTTTTCAGTCTGTTTATTAAACAAGGAGTAATTGATTTAGGAAGTTAGATCAGAAAGAAACTCTCATTCTTTTTACATTTCAGATTAAATGTAAATGATATTCAAGAAACATGTCAGAAGAACGCCACTTCTGCCTTGCTTGTTGGAAGGAAGGATCTTGTCCAGGTATGTCCATCCCTTTTGCTGGCATCTGGATTTTTTCCCCCCAGAGCAAGGTGTCTTCACTTTATAGTTGTGGTTTAGTGACATTTCAAGGTGTGACTCCTCTTTTTCATTTTCTTTGCCAAACTACAGGACAAAGTAGCTTTCTAAATCCCTTGGATGCTTTTCTTAATAGAGCTTAGTTGAGAGGATCCTAAAGCTTTTACTATTTTTTATTGCATCTCTTTTCTATTTTAGTACCACCGTGATAGTTGCACACCAAATTTAGGTATCTGTATCTTTACCATTTGTATTCTCAATTCTGTTTCCTTTTTACTTTAAAAAATGCTTCATTTCCTAAAATGTTTACAAAAACATTCCTTTAGAATAGACACGTTTAGTTTTAAAATACGATGTGGTCTTACAAAAATTTAAATCTTCATTTTTGTAGGAACACATCAGCATATTAAAGCAAGCTGCTCCTTGATTGTTTTTAACAGCTTTATAGAGAATCTAGTCCATATACCATGCGATTCACCCATTTAAAATGTACTATCTAATGGCCTTTAGTATAGTCACAGGGTTTTGCAAGCATCACCACAGATACTTTCAGAATATTTTCATTACCCTAGCTCACAGTCCTTCTTCCGCACCCAGCCCTAGGCAACCACTAATCCCCTCTCTCTCTATTGCACCTTTATTCTTTAGTGCGAGGATTAGATTGAGCAATGGAAATTACTAGCTGTTGTCCTGTCCACTTAGTTTTTTTCCCTCATAACCCTCCAAATGACCCAAGCTAAGGCTTCCCTTTATTTCTATTTGTAGAAAACCCCTAGGATTTCCATTTGTCTCCTAATAAATACTGTAAAGTTTTTGCCCAAACCCTGTTAGGTCAATATGATCTATTTCTCTAAGAACCTAGCCACCTAAAGTCCCGTGAATACTAAGAAGCCAAATAAAGCAGTAGAAATATTGTGGAATGTATAACAGGATGCACAGGTGTGACTCAGCACTCTAGTGGTGTGATCCCAGAGTCTCTCAGCCTCTGTATCTAGGTGGGGTAAAAGTAGTTTTACAGTTGTGAGTATGTGAAACACAGTTTATTCTTGTATTATTTATTAATTATTGTATAATTTCCCATATGAACAACTGTAAACCACTTTTGTCCCACCCTGTATATGTGAAATGGGAACCATAAGAATAATTACCTCATAAGGTTGGTGGGAAGATTGACAAATGCAATGCTAAGGCAGACCCAATGTTCATGTTCTGAAAAAAATTCTCTGAGGCAAAATTACTTTCTAAAGTGTGTTTTTAAAAAATATTTTTATTGATTTCAGAGAGGCAGGGAGAGGGAGAGAGAGAGACAGAAACATCAATGAATGATGAGAGAGAATCATTGATTGGTTTCCTCCTGCACACCCCCCACTAGGGATTGAGCCCACAACCTGGGCATGTGCCCTAACCGGGACCAAACCGTGACTTCTTGGTCATAGGTTGACACTCAACCACTGAGCCACACTGGCCTACAATTCTGTGTTTCAATAAGCTTTCAGCTTTGCAGCTCTCAGAGGAGCAAGGGCTTGATGTATGGGGAGGAGAGATGGATTCTCTCATGCTTCCTGTTCCTGTCCTCACCAGTCTGAGTTTGGCTGTTTGTCTTGATTTGTCCAGGTTTGGTCGCTGGCCACAGTAGCTACAGATCTTTGCCTTGGTCCGAAGTCTGATCCAGATTTGGAAACACCCTGGGCTCGGCATCCATTCGGGCGGCAGCTGCTGGAGTCACTGTAGGTTTTGAAAGCTGAAAGTGAGGAAAAGAGTGATGTAAACGTTAGGTCTGTCAACACTTTCAAAGTTGTTGTCTAAGAGGAAAGTGCAGAGGCCCGAGGAGTGAGAGGTGGAAGCTAGAGCTCTCCTTTTTGTGCTGCAATATTTCTGTGCCAGCAAACTTTTCATGGCAGAAGGAGCTAGGCAATATTTGTCATCTCTGACAAGGACTTGAGACTCATGAGTCCTTTTGAAGCTTAAGTCCATAAGTCAACGTCAGTCTGAACATGGGAGTTTGAGCTCCTGCGATGGTCAGTTTCGTGGGTGCTGTGGAGCTTTGCCCCCTGAGGACAGGTTAAAGAATTGCACAGTGGGTTTCCTGTCTTCCAGAAGCCATGATGCTTTCACCTTTAGACAGTTTAGGAAAACATTGAATTTGTTTTGATTTATTGCCCTGAAATATGGCATACTGGAAATAAAATATGCAAAATGATTTACAACCAGGTAAGCCTCTTGGATCTCCGTAACAGTGAGGCCCAGGTCCTGAGAGAGAAGCAGAAAATCTCTGCTTTCTTTCAGGGGAAGGTTTGCTTAGTTACTGGTTGAGGCCAGACTTGGGACAACATGTGCTCACACTTAAGTTGCCTCAGAGTAATGCAGGGATGATAATGCTTGCTCTACACACTTCCTGTAAGGCTCACTTAAAAGAGTGAGCGTGAAACACCTTAAAAGATATTAGATATTGCTCGGCAGGAAAGTACCAACATTATTCCATCGCAAAGGCCAAGCCTCCCTGGTCCCTACCTCACATTCTAGCATAGTGGTCCTAAAAGGGGCAAAGGGATATGAGTACCTACAAGTGAAGCTATTCCTTGTTGTTCTTATTTAAGAGCTCACTTTCCTAATTCCCCCTCCTGAGTCGATTGCCTGCTCACCGTACTGTGGGGTGGGGTGTTCTCGAAGCAACTTCACATAGCCGTAGGTTACGTGAACGGAGTTTTGAGGAACCCCCAGAAAGCAGGGTTCTGCCCTGGAGTTGGGAGGCCAAAAGGATGGCCTCACTCAGATGTCAGTTTAGTCTGCTTAGTTCTTGGAGAAGCTTTCTTCCAGTCCGAGCCCGTGCCTGGTACCAGCCAGAAGCTTTCAGATTGGTATTCTGGGTCATCTGTAATACTTTGATGTATTTTATTCCAAAGCAGATTTAGCCAAACTCAAAGTAGATCAAGCCTCTGGGCCTATAGGAAGCCCTGGTACCTGACAAGGGTATTTGAGGAGGAATTGAGCATCCTCTCTTCCCTATTCCTATGGCAACAACCGCCATGATTGTGCTAGCATCCTTCCTCCATTCTCCTCTTGACTTGTTTTCTCTCCTCTCACCTCTTCCTCTCCAGGTTGGCTCATTACTGTCAGCTCCGGGATGTGCAGACGCTGGCCATGCTCTGCAGTGTGTTCGAAGCCCAGTCCCGGCCTCAGGGGATACCAAACCCTTTTGGGCCTTTTCCCAGTCGTTCTTCTAATCTGGTGGTGTCCCATAGTCGATACGTAAGCTTGTGGTTTTCTGGTTTGTGTCTGGCGTTTCCTAAAGGTAAACCTTCATGGGGGGTGGTGTTCTGATGCCGCTCCTGTCTGTCCTGCAGCCCAGCTTCACCTCCTCTGGTTCCTGCTCGAGCATGTCAGACCCAGGGCTCAACACTGGTGGCTGGAACATAGGTTGGTACGAGCCTGACCTAGTCCACGCTGGATGTTTAGTTCTCTAAGAGCTGCGTGTCAATTGTTAATAACATGTAATCTTTAGTTGATGAACAGTCTCTGTTTTCTTGTGTTTCTCATTTTTCTTTATCTTTCCTATGATGGCGATAGTGTAGTCAGCAAGGCCTGGACCTCATGTTTGAACAGGCCAGTTTCTGGGAGGGCTTTGTGCCTTGCTGGGTTGCTTTACATCCCATGACCTTGAGAAGCTGACAGGGAGACTTCCCAGTGTCCACCCTCAAAACCTAGCCCTGTCCTTCCTCCATCACATGTGCCCGGTCATCTGCCACTTCCTGCTGTGTCCTCTTCAATGCAGAGAATAACACCGAGCCCGATTCCAGATGGTCATAAAGACCTATTTGATGTGTATTTGTGGTTTCTGGGTTTTTAAAATTTCTTTTAAAAGATTATCTTAATTTTCTTAATTATAAAAGTAACACATGCACAGTGAAGAATAAACAAAGTATTGGAGTAGAAAATAGTAATCATTGATTGCCCCACCTAGAAATAACATCTGTTAACATTCCAGAAAATGTTCTTCCAATCTTTGTGTACGAGGGGTGTAGGAGGGGTCACTCTGTATGTGTGATTTTGAGTTCTGCTTTTAATCTCATCATGAGCTTTTCTCATATGTCATTAAAAAAGTCATTGTAAGTAATGATTGCCTGATATGCTACCATATCACTATACTATAGTTTGCTTAATCGTTATATGTGTACTTATAAGGCTACTAAGTAGCACCACGATAAAAAGGTAAGGCTAGGAAAGAGTTCTGTTTAACTATATTTCTCAGGATCTTCAACTTAGCTTCTTTTTCTCCTGGTGAATTTATGAGAGTTTTTAGACATTTTCCATGTCTTCTCTGACTTGCACCTTCCCTTCCCATTTGATTTTCTTCAGCGGGGAGAGAGATAGAACACATCTCTTCGCCTTGGGGAGAGTCTTCACCAGAAGAAATCCGCTTTGGGAGCCTGACCTACAGTGACCCTCGTGAGCGAGAGCGTGACCAGCATGATAAGAACAAAAGGTAACGGCCTTCCCAGTGCGAGCTGTGGCTGCACGGTGTGTGGCTTCCCCCGAAGTAGGGCTCTTGCGTTAAGAAAGGTATATAAAGTACCATTTGGTATGAAGCTCATTTTTGTCTGCAAGGAACTGACAGGAAGTCTTTTGAATTTTTTTCCAGGCTCCTGGATCCTGCTAATACCCAGCAGTTCGATGACTTTAAGAAATGCTATGGAGAAATCCTCTATCGCTGGGGTCTGAGAGAGAAGCGAGCGGAAGTGCTGAAGTTTGTCTCCTGTCCCCCGGACCCTCACAAAGGGATCGGTGAATATGCTTTTTTTTTTCTCTTCCCGTCACTATCTGAAAGCTTCTTTGATTTAATTTATCCATAATGTAAGATCTTAAATGACGTTTTAGTTTCTCGTTGATAAGCAGACATTGCTGAAGCATTTCGAGTCTATTTTAAGCTTCTGAAAAGCCTTACATTTCATGACAAGAGTACATTTTTATTGTAGTAGAGTAGTTTTCTATGCAATACTTAGATATTGATTGGAAGTCAGAATAAAACTCCTCTAGGCACAATGCTAACACATTTCTTCTCATGGAACTCACAGACTAGTGGGGGAGAAGAATTAATTAATTAAACATTGTGATCAGTATTTAACAGCAAACAGAAAGGCCGTTGGGGCAGGGAGAGAAGGAGGGAGGATTTTAGAAGCTGTGATGAAGTGTATTGTGAAGGCCTTTCTGAGGAGCTGAGGACTGAAGAATAAGGAACCATATGTGGAGAGGCAGCTAGAGGAGCGCCATGCTGGGCGAAATGACTTGTTATTTTGAATGAGTGAAGGGAGCCCAGTGTGGCTAGAACACAGTGTTGAGAAGAGTGGTATAAAGTTAAATGAGATTGATAATTAGATTATGATTATAAAATATACTCTATTTATATATAAAGTAAGATTAGTAGGATAATTAGGAACTTATAAGTAAAGAATTTGGATTGTATTCTGAGTTCCATGGTAAACTTCAAAGGGCATTAAGAAGTAAATTACTTGCCCAGCTGGCTTGGCTCAGTGGTTGAGCATTGACCTATGAACCTGGAGGTCATGGTTCAGTTCCCAGTCAAGGCATATGCCCGGGTTGTGGGCTTGATCCCCAGTGTGGGGAGTGCCGGAGGCCCAGCAGATCAATGATTTTCTCTTATCATTGACGTTTCTATCTCTCTCTTCCTCTGCCTTCTGAAGTAAAAAAACAAACATGTAAGTTACTTGCTCTGGTTTCCATTTTAAGAGGGTCACTTTGGCTGTAACCTGAGGAAAGGATTGGAGGAGCAGAGGCAGAGGTAGGAAGACTGTTCAAGTAGTTAAAGAGAGACCAGCAGCTCAGTCTAGGGGTGATATCGATGGCAGTGGAGAGAGATGGGCGGATTAAAAATATATGTTAGAGGCAGACTAATTATGACTTACAAACCAGCTGGATGTGGATTGAGGAAAAGAGACAAAGCTTGGATGATTTCTAGGTGTTCAGCTTAAGCAGCTGGGTAGATAGATGGCGGTGCCATATTCTAAGATGGAAAAGACGGGAAGAAAATTGAGAGCTCAGCTGGGGACAGTCGGAGATGAGGTGTGAGATATCAGACTATAACAGTCATGTAGGCAGGTGGGTGTGAGTCTGGAGCTTGAAGGAGAGACTGCAGCAGGATCAGGAACTTGGGAATCTTCAGCATATCAGTGGTGGGGATTGAAGCTGTGAGAATAGGTGCATTTACCTGGGAGCTGGTGGGTGGGCAGGAAGAGTATGGGAGACCAAACAAGAGAGCCCACCCACTCCACGCCGTGAGAGGAAACTGGTACATGGAGCTTGAGTCTTGGAGGAAGAACCAGAAACAAGGACTTAGAATGAGACACCAGTGAGCAAGCCTGGTACAAAAGAAGCTGAGAGAAGAGCTGTTTTTTAAAGGGTGAAATGGAAGACTGCCAGAGAGTGGACTGAACACACGTTGATTTCTTCTCTCCTTACAGAGTCTATATGGAGCTTTTCTGAAAAGGCATAACCACGCAAGGAGTCATGTTGGCAATAAAACTTGTGACCTGGGAGGCAGGTCGGTTAGTGGTAGAGATTTTATAGGGACAGAGAAAGCTGAACCCCAAACTGGCAGGCAGAAGAACAGTAAGATACAGGGCAGAACCTCCAAATGGCTCGGGAATGAGTGTACCCGGTGCCTCTGGAAGCAGCATGAAGGGGAAATTAAAAACTGGAGGATTGTTTTGTGGCTTTTGTAGGGTCCCAGGTCCCTGCTTTACTCCAGCAGAAAACTGGAAGTTCATTCTTCAGAGAAGGTGAATGCATTTCCAGATTGAGAGGGCCTGCCAAGCACCTCGAATAATGAATGAAGGAAGGCTGGATAAAGAGAAGACCCCTGGAGCTTCCAGAGAGAGAAAACAGGTTACGTGCAAGGGACACTTCAGGAGCAGTGAACTAGATACTGGAAACTCGATGACACTGCAGCAGTCCCTTCAGAAGTTTCAAGAACATGATTTCTAACCTCGGGTTCTGTACCCAGGTTAGCAGTCAAGTGTGAGAATGAATATTCAGCCAATCTAAGGAGGAGGGATAGATTCAGTCCAGGAAACCAGGAAGTCGGAAAGACAGTAGAGGGAGATGGTCATGGCGGACCGGAGGTAGACCAGTCCAGGTTGGAGTTTCCGGAGCGTTGTCTCCAAGAAGAGAAAACTGAAAAAAAATCTAGTGCTTCAGTATATTTATAGAAAATTCAGATATTTAAGGGAGAGAGTAGAGATGAATTATTGATAAGTACATAGCAAACTAAGCAAATCAACGAAACAAGACAGTTACTAACTCCAGGAGAAGCAAAATGTGAAGAAGGAGAAGTCATGACTTGAGTAATGTTCACCTAGATAAACCATGTGAAAACAGAATAGTGATCCCAGCAAATGGTAATGGAACTGCCTGGGAAAGATGAGGGACAGGTGGTGTGTGCGTGTGGTTGGGGAGACTGGGGAGTGAAAGAGAGCTCCCACCACGGAAGGTCATAGGTAATGCTTAAATATGAACATTAAGAAGTAGCTTCATAACCAGCGGTGTTTAGAGACAGGGAGGTAAAAACAAAAGAAAGAGTGAAATGGGTTGGAAGGATTTTCCTCGGGAGTGTTGGGGGTGGAAGGGAATGCTGGCTTTGGCAATAGTGTTGTTGTGCATGTGTATCTAGTTTCAATTTAAAAAAGAAGTAGAACAAATAATAGGTAGCTGTAGATACTGAATAACACAGATTATTTTAAAATGGATTATTTTGGTGTGAGTACTTGAAGAAATGCAAAGACATAAAAGACTCTTTGGGCAATATATTTTTCAGAGCATCTAAATACATGAAAGTATATCAAGGAGAGATTAACGATGGCCCAGAGCAATTATCAAACCAATCTAACTTGGCTCACAATTTACCTAACTAGGACCACCATAAAATTTTCTCCGAAGTTACCGTGTATTTAAAGATTATTTACTGGTGCTTTTTATGATTGCCAGTGGTCAGGAAGCAGAGGAACTGGCTTTGGTGGAAGAAAGGTCCCTCATCGGTTGTAGGAAGCAGGACAAGGGTACAACCCTGGGGAGACTGGAGGACTTGCTGGCAGAGGGATGAAGGGGCTTTGTTTTCTGAGGGAAGTGAGAGAAGAGGCCCAGGTGACAGGAGCAGAGGTGTGAGGGAGGCGTTTTTGGAACGTGGCGAGGTGTGAAGTAGCCACCTAGGGAGTGGAAGAGAAACCGAGTCGGAGCCCTGCACAGACACATCATGATGGTGGCCTTCTCGCGGGACCACTCGCAGGACCGCTCGGGGCAGACGTGGCGTGGGCAGCTGGTCGGGCTCAGCCAGGGCTGAGGGGCTGACGTGGAGGGAGAGAAGGCAAAGGAGCTGAGGACATTTGCCACAAAGTGATTATAAATCTGTACTGTCATTCCGGCTGACCTCAGGGGAGATTGCAGCTGGAGGGCGGCAGAGGGAACGAAAGTGAAAGTGATGGTGGTAGACTAGAGGTGAGAGGGCAGCCACATGAGAGGTCAGGTGTGCAGAGGGTTGGTGGCGTGGATTTTGAAGGCACCAAGGATAGTGCCAAGAATCAGCTTATTAACACACAGTTTATTAATCTGTATGTCAGGCCCTGCAGCTGTTGGGGGTGGGGAGGGGAATGAGACACAACAACCACCACAGCTACAGGCACCGGGGTTTGGACCAGGACCTGCGAGAGCCAGGCACCTGCTGCCCCTCGGCCCACACCCTGCCACCTGAGTGACAGCAGCTCCTCTTTATAACACTGCGATCATAAAGATGGAAAATCATTGGCCTAGCCCTGACCAGTGTGGCTCAATTGTTGGGCATCGTCCTGTGCACCAAGAGGTCACTGGTTCGATTCCCCGTCAGGGCACATGCCCGGGTTTAGAGTTTGGTCCCCAGTAGGGGGCCTGCAGGAGACAGCTGGTTGATGATTATCTCTTATCAATGTTTCTCTCTCTCCCTCTCCCATCCTTTTTCTTTTTTCTTTTTTTTTTTATATTTATTTTTTACAGAGAGGAAGGGAGAGAGACAGAGAGTTAGAAACATCGATGAGAGAGAAACATCGATGAGAGAGAAACATCAATCAGCTGCCTCCTGCACATCCCCTACTGGGGATGTGCCCGCACCCAAGGTACATGCCCTTGACCGGAATCGAACCTGGGACCTTTCAGTCCGCAGGCCGATGCTCTATCCACTGAGCCAAACCAGCTAGGGCCCATCCTTTTTCTTTAAGATCAATTTAAAAACATATTAAGAGGGGAAAAGAAAATTGAAATCATTGGTCTGATAGGCTCCTACAGAGACCTAAGATGTACGCATCTTCCTCAGCTCACAGTGCCCAGTTTGCTTTCGCAGAACTGAACTGACGCTGTCTCGTTCTGGCCATCTCTGGCCGTTTCCAGAGTTCGGCGTGTACTGCAGCCACTGCCGGAGCGAGGTCCGCGGCACGCAGTGCACCATCTGCAAGGGCTTCACGTTCCAGTGCGCCATCTGCCACGTGGCAGTTCGGGGATCGTCCAATTTCTGCCTGACCTGCGGGCACGGGGGACACACCAGCCACATGATGGAGTGGTTCCGGACCCAGGAGGTGTGTCCCACCGGGTGTGGCTGTCACTGCCTGCTTGAAAGCACTTTCTGAGCTCACAGACCGTGGGAATTGTCGGACATCCCAGAGGACCCCACGAGTGCCGGCGACAAGCTCTCTGCCAGGAGCGAGGCTGAGCACCCATTCCTCCCTGGACGGGGTGTGCCCCTCTCGGACCGCCCAGCACCGCTGCGGGAGTCTGGCCCTCTCTCCCGTTTGGCCGCTGGTGGCATGGATGTTGCTCGAGGTGGGTGAGGGCAGGCGTGCAGAGCGGTGTGGCCAAGTGGAAGTTTTCTGGGAGACAAGCACCTGCCTCCAGAGCCGTGTTGACTTTTAAGGTGTATCCTTAACCCCCGGGCAGCGTTCTTTCTGATGCCTTCGCAGAGCCAAGGTCAGATGCAAGGGACAGTCTCGAGCCAGAGGACAGTGGGCAGGAATTTAGTTGGCAATGACCTCTGACATAGTTGGTACATTTCATGAACTGGTGGGTTGCGGTTTAAAATATAATACTTAAATTATGACTATATGATGTACTTAAGGATTCTTAAGATGTATTTTTTATTCGTTATTTCTCTTCCAGTTGCTCCCCGTGGCTAATAAAATTCTAGTAATTGTTTCAAAAAAAGAGACAGAGGAAGTTGAACAATGACCTAGTGAATCTTTATTTTTACCCAGCTTCTAATTGAGGTTAACTCTTGGATAGGAACAAAGTCAGTATTCAGATTTTCAAAGGAAATGCTGATGAACTTTTGTCATCTGGCAGGAGAAAATAGAATCTGACATTTAAGGTTCTTCCCCACCCCAAGCGTCTTTTAATCATTTCTTCCAGCAAATGGAAAATGAGGCGGCATCGCAGCACTGAGGCAACAGTCTCCATTGCCGCGTGCAGGCGGGCTGAGCTCCGGTAAGTGCCTTCACTCTCCTTCGCACACTTCGCCCCGCGTTTATCTGTGTTCCGACCAGTTATGACTCAGTTCTTCAGAACCATTTTCAACGCTTTGCATTTCGTATGTGCAGGAAAAAGAAATCTTTTTGATATTGCTACTGAAATTTATATTTGTTTCTTAGAATTCTACCATTTCAAATTGATTAGCTTAAGAAATATAGCTACATGTGTTGTACATCATTGTGTTTTAAACTACAGGTCAGGACTCATTAATGGACTGTGAAATCAATTAAGTGGATAAAAAACAGCATTAAAAAATGAAATAGAGCAGAAGAAAAATGATCAGAATTACCACACCAGTTAGGGTAAATATTGTTTTGTGTAACTTATTTACAAGTGTATATGCACACACTGCACATGTGTAGTAAGTAGATCACAATGTAAATGCATTTTTTACTGAAGCGTATGGTCAAAACATTTTTAAAACACTGCTTTGGTTGTTTATACTTTGTCCCGTGTGTTACTGGGTTAGAAAAGCCTCGGTCCTTGCCCTGGCTGGTGTGGCTCATGGACCAAAAGGTCATCGGCTCGATTCCCAGTCAGGGCACATACCCAACTTGTGGGTTCATTTCTGGTGCATGCGGGAGACAACTGATCGATATTTCTCTCTCACATCGATGTTTCTCTATTTCTCTCTTCTTCCCTCGTGCTCTAAAAATCAATTAAAAACATTAAATTTTTTTTTTAAAAAAAAGAAAAGCCTAGGTCCTTTTCAGTGAGAGCAGAGCTTTAACTCTGGGCTCTGATCTGAGGTCAGATGCCATTGCCTGCGTAGAGTGACCTGAGTTACAAGGTGCAGCACGCCCACTGGGGGCTGTCAAGGAGGCAACCAAGGAAATCGGAATTTGTTCACTCTTTGCCTTTCCCTGTGTGTGTGGACGCTGCTGTCATGGTGATCACAGAGCAGGTTGACTAATTTACCGAGGAAAGGGTCTGTTGTGTTTCTCAGTGACGTCACACCGTTTGCAGAGAACAGTGCTTCCCTGTTCCCCGCCGTTCAGGCCGATGTAAAGATCTGTCCCTGTCTGACCCCTCAACAATTAGATGTGTGTATTGTTACGGGAACCTCGCCTTCTATACCGAAAAACCTTAATCATGGGTATTAAGAACTTTAAAGTTTAAAACATTACATAATGTCTTCTTTCAATATATGTATTCCTTTTGAATTTCTGAGTTATAGGAACAAAAATCTAATATTTAAAAAATGTTCACTCTTGGAAACACATTGGTCTGGGTGCTGGCTGTGGGCAGAATTCTCTTTGTCTCAGAATAGATTATTATAAGCTCCTAAGTCCTTTTTTGTTTGTTTGTTTGTTTAAAAAAATAATACAAGCTGTTCCAAAGTACTCTTGAGCTTGGCAAAGAAAACAGGGCAAGCAGCCTTATTTGAGCACCAGAAACAAGAAGTTGCATGGGAAGAGCCCTGGCCAGTGTGGCTCAGTGTTTTGGCATCATCCCATGCATGGAAAGGTTGCAGGTTCGATTCTTGGTCACGGTACATACCCAGGTTTCGGGTTTGACCCCCAGTAAGGGGCATACAGGAGGCAGCTGATTGAGTTTTCACTCTCACATTGATGTTTCTCTCTCTCTCCCTCTCTTAAACAACAAAAACAATAAATAATAAAAAGAATGGTGGAAGGGGCGAGCCTTCCGGGTAACCTACCAGCTGGATTTTGTTCCCCTGTCCTCGAGCCCTCATAAAACAAAAGTGGTGTAATGCTTTCCTTGGTAATGCCACATAGATAGACTCAATGTTGCTTTAAGTTTTTAAAAATTTTATCTGATATAAAAATGCAGTCTATCTGAAGATGCCGAGTTCACATGCTTGGGAGTTGCTCTCCTTTTTTCAGTGATTCCCTAGGTGGCTGGCAGGATTTAGCAGAAAGCTGGTTCCTTTTCAGTGGCTTACTGCAGCGGGAACTTGAGGGAAAGACAGGAGTCATTCATTTTGTTAGAACACCAATGCTGACGGGTCAGGAAGCTCATTGATGGTCTCTATGCAACAGAACAATTTCTTAGAAGATTGATTTTGCTAGTGGTGGAAAAATAGTTCAGAAACAGGGTTATAAATAACACCCTCTACTTTATGGCTTACTGTTTCAGACCTTCCTCAGAGTCGGAGCTGGCAGTAGGGTCTTATACACACACTCAAAGGGCAGACCCCAGGGGAGGAAACACACACCTCGGTTTCCTCATTCTCCTTAAAAGTTTCTGTCCTTATCAGAATGAGAAATACATCTACCGTATTGGCATTCCATAATACAGGCACAATTGTTTCACCACAGTATCACTGAATTGATACTGCTCCATAAACCTACGGTCTGATTTAATTCATCAAGCACTTGCCATGAGATGAGCACTTGGACAAAGGTGACTATAGAGAATATGGTCTCGGCCCTCCTGGAGTGTAGACTCTAGTAGGAATTTAGGAGATTGCGTAAATGCTTACACTACAGTGTGCTGCTAGCCTCCGGGGCAGGACGGAGTAAACCCACTGAGGGCGGAGATCGCAGAGGGACGGCAGCTTTGGCCGAGTTTAAGAGTGAGTGTTCTTCAGGTGGGGAA